CGACTCACGGCAGCCCAGCTCCAGGTTGAGCTGTTGTTCAGCATCTTAGCTGTAGAGGGCAGTGTCACTGGCCCTCATATGTGGGATCCGATCCGGGACCCTCTGGCATCCCAAGCCAGTTCTTAACCATCGCACCACTCGGCCGGCCCAAATTGGAGTTTTTTAATGTTGAGTTCTATGAGTTCTTTATATATTTTGAATATTAACCTCTTATCAGATGTATCGTTTATAATTATCTTCTCCCATTCAATGAGTTGCCTTTTCATTTTGTTGATGGTTTCCTTCACTGTGCAGAAACTTTTTAGTGTGATGTAATCCCTTTGGTTTATTTTTGCTTTTGGTGTCCTTGCCAGGGGAAACATATCCAAAGAAAATATTGCTAAGACTCATGTCAGAGTTTACTGCCTGTTTTCTTCTAGGAGTTTTATGGTTTCTGCTCTTACATTTAAGTCTTTCATCCATTTTCAGTTTACTTTTCTATGTGGTGTAATAAAGTGGTCCAGTTTCTTTTTTTCTCTTGCATGTAGCTGTCCAGTTTTCCCACCACTGTTTTACAGTTAGACTGTCTATTGTATATTCTTGCCTTCTGTCGTAGCTTAAGTGACCACGTAAGTATGAATTTCTGGGCTCTCTATTCTGTTCCATTGATCTATGTGTCTGTTGTTATGCTAGTACCATACTGTTTCAATTACTGTAGCTTTTTAGAATAGTTTGAAATCAGGCTGTGTGATGCCTCCCACTTTGTTCTTCTTTCTCAAGTTTGCTTTGACTGTATGGGGTCTTTCATGGTTCCATAGAAATTTTTGGATTATTTGTTCTAGTTCAGTGAAAAATGCCATTGGTATTTTGATAGATATTGCACTGAATCTGTATATTGCTTTGGGCAGTATGGACTTTCTAATGATATTAATTCTTCCAATCTATGACCATGGTATATCCTTCCATTTATTTGTGTCATCTTCAGTTTCTTTAATTAGTGTCATAGTTTTCGAAGTATAGGTCTTTTACCTCCTTGGTTAAATTATTCCCAGTATCTTATTCTTTTTGATGAAGTTGTAAATGGGATTATTTTCTTAATTTTCTCTTCTGCTAACTTGTTATTAATGTATAGAAACATAATTGAGTTCTGTATACTAATTTTGTATCCTATAACTTTACTGAATTCATTTATTAGTTCTAATAATTTTTGGTGGAATCTTTAGGGTTTTCTATATACAGTATCATGTAAGTGCTTTGTTGTTAAGTAATTGCAATTTGTAAGGATTTTATGTGCTTTCAAATTTTTCTCTTTCTTAAAATTATTTATCTGTTTATTCAAGTGTATATTCAATCCATGCAATACCTTTCTCCAAAGACAATTTGTGAAAAGATATATTTTATGCTTAATTCTTTCATTATTTTAAGACTATTTCCTGAATATTTCATTTCATTACATGATGCATTTTTAGTTTCAGTCTCACTCTCATGCATTTTCTTAAGTTTGAGTTACAGGGATGGGAATTCAATTTTTACTGCATTTTACCTTCTTGACAACATTGGGTGTATACTGGGAACTGCCACTAGAGTTCTTCTTGTATGAGAAGGAAACAACCTTCAGAGATCAAGGGCCAGTGATAGACTCAGACGCTGCATCCACATGGTCCCTGTGAAGCTACTAACATTATTGCCAGAGCACATGGCGTGTGGTGTACTCATACTCCTTCACCATCTGCGTGTTCCCCTTGGGTTTTCTTTCTCAGTATATGAAAAGATTTCTGGTTAGTGTCCACTCCCATATGGCCCTCTCATTCACTCCTCCCTACCCCCAAATGTTCACATTCATTTTTATTAATTTGTGCATGAAATGACCCATTCTGCATTTAGAAATAATTACATATTCCAAACATTCATCTGCATGTGTTCTTCTACAATCCTTCTCTATAATCTTACGGTATCACATTCTTCATGACCAGGAACTGACCCTGCATGGGATCATAAAACATACTGATCATTAAAGCATTGTAGATAAGCCCACTACATTTTGTGTACATTGAAACACTAATTGATTAAAAACAAAGACATTAGAAGGTGAGCTTCTTATGAAATATTTACACAATACTGTTTTAAAACTTTAATCTGTAAAGTAGCAGTTAAGAGCAAGAGCCAGACTGAATAAGTTTGAATCCTGGCTCTGCCAGTTTACTAACTCCTTAAGCTTAGGCAAGTTTTGTTTTGGTTTGGTTTGGTTTTTTAACCTCTCATGCCTGAGTTTCTACATCAGTAAAGTGGAGAGATAATGTTACTTTCTACCACAGAGTTATTGTGAAGACTAAAATTAATTCACATTGTCATGAACAAAGTGCTTAATAAATAGTAGCCATTTTTGTATTGTATGTGGTACCTTGCACATTGTAACCTATTCTCCATTTATTAACCATAATAGCAACAATAACAGTTGCTGTTAGATTTATTGAGCAACTATTACATGACAGAAACTAGGCCAGACACTGCACATGTATCATCTTATTTAATTCACACAGAACTCTATAAGGTAGGTCATATTGTTGCCCCATTTTACTGATAAGAAAAGTTAAGATTATTCACTCAGGGACATGCAATATGCACTCAGCATCAGTGGGCATTGTTTATTTCTCTCTCTCTCTCTCTCTCTCTCTCTCTCACACACACACACACACACACACACACACACACACTTATCAATCAGTCTGGTCAGCTAGTCATTAAACAAAGATTTGCCACCACTTACGATGTGCAGGGTTCACAAAATCCTGCAAGAGGGAGGATGGAGAGGAAAGATAAGCAAGGAATGGTCCCTGATATCAAGGAGTTCACAACCCATTGTGGGAGATTCTCATCTCCACATAACTAAAATGGATGATGTGCTAGAAGTGCTCCAAGTATAAACCATGTGCTATGAGAATGCTGAGGAAGCAATCACTTCTAACCTGGGGGACTGGAAAGTAAGCATAAAAACATATAAAAAGCCTTGAACTGGGAGAGAAGGAGAATAAGAGCATTCCAGAGAGAAGGAGCAGCACAAAAAAGTCACACAAATGTTATATGAGACGGAATATGACAGGACAGGCAGATAGAGTTTAACTGGGAGTACAGGGTTGTAAGGCTGGAGAGGTAGCTTTGAAATGTTCTTCATGCTTTTGTGTGCATAACAATGAAGCAAACCCTACATTTTTTTGAAACTCCACTTGGTTTTCCAAATATCTGGTCCAAGCAAAGATGGGCAAGGCTAAGGAGAGAGTGAAAAACAAGACATTGTTTTAGATGTATATGAGATACTTGATGAATCTTGGAAAGTCAGAGCTGGCTTTTGACCAGACTACCTACTCCACTTTTCTGATAAATTTAAGATCTCTTTTACCTCTTGGGAATTATCCACACCAAAGGAGCAAGCCCACTCCAGTTCTGGTACCTCTAGGCAGGTACTGACCAAACCCCAGTTTAGTATGGGTTGTTGAGAACCAAACCAAGATCCAGTGTTATGGAGCTAGGATGCGTGGGGCCGCCACTAATATCTGATTGGCAAAGTGCCAGATGACAAAGTCTACCATTCACCCATAAAACTCTTCCTTTTTTCCCCCCACCCAGAGTGGAATTTACTAAGCTATCAGGATACTGTGTCAATATGTTACAGATAACCTAACAAGAAAAAAAATGGTAATTTTTACTCCATGCCATCTAAAGATATACTTTCCAGTAATTTTGAAGTCCACTAAAAACTGAAATCTGAACATTTCTTTCATCTCACTATCCACCCTGTAATTACCCTAAATTTAAGCCTTGCCTCTACTTCTTTGATATTTAAGTACTAATCCAGTATTGGTTACTTATTATCAATGATTAATTATCACTCAATGATCCATTAATTATCAATCAGTATTATTTGAAAAAATATTAGTCAAAAACAATAGACTGACTAAGATAAAGTATGTCATTTCTGAGGTCCTTTAGTCACCTAATGTAATAGTGAATGGCAACCTCCCTAACCTCTTCATGAAAAATTTAGAGTTTGCATTTTTGCATTTTTGATGGTACTAATTGGAGCAGTAGTTCATTTGCGGCTGTCATTGAGTAGAGTGCTTTTAAAAATCTCCTTTTAACATTGTCAAGATTGCAAATGTTTTTTGTTTAGCCTTGGTTTCATAAAAATGGGTCTTCGAGGCTATATACAATAAGCAGATATTAAAACCAGGGTTATAAATTGTTGCTTTAGCATTCTAGCCTTAGAGGCCCAAAAGATCTTACCCAAAGGATACATTGTTTTAATTGTTCCTCATTGTATGTGATGAGAGAACATCATTTCTCTCCTCTTTCTCCCAGGTGGCCGTTGAGGACCGCATCCGGCAGCTGCATGAAGCTCACAGGGACTTTGGCCCAACGTCCCAGCACTTTCTTTCCAGTAAGTCGGTGTCACCGTTCATTGTTTAACCTCTTCATGGTATCTTGGTGGCTAAGAAATTAGTTGAATTACAGGCATCTCTGCCAAATGCACTGGAGGCATAAATCATCCTGAAAGATAACTTGGTAGGTGAACTCCCAAGGTTAGGAAGAGGAGGACCAATTAGATCATTTTGTCCAGACTTCACCTAATCCATAATTATTTCCTGCGATGTATTCTCAAGTGCTAATTTAGATAATATTTTTGAGTCTTTAGTTCTGCTTACAGCAGTTCACTTCATACCACCGGTAATTATGCTAGCATATACTTATGATGTAATAATTCAATATCTATTACTGTGAATCTATAATTCTTTATCTCTGTATAATTCATTAAATACTCCCTGCCTCCAAGTTGGAACCTCAGCCTGTTATGTTTCCTTTCCCTAACTATTCTTATCACTTTTATCCTTGACCTCTATTCATTATTTTCATTTTCCAGTTTTACTATTTCATTAATTGTTTTTATAATTAATTATATTTTATATATCTTCTTAATTAACATTGTATTTTTAATAATTAATGCTAAGAGGAATAGCCTTAGTTAACTGAAAGTTTAATAGTGGAACACCCTATTAATATAATAATTCATATTAGATTGTCAGGCTCCTGTTTTCTCCTGACTGATGTTGTTCACTTATACCACTCTTTCTTTCATTACAAAAGTATATACAGTAATACCTCGGTTTGCGAGCATAATTCGTTCCAGAAACAAACTACTTGTATTGCAAGACATCGCTCATTTACCAAGATAAAATGTATTATTAGGTTGGTGCAAAAGTAGTAGCGATTTTGGCAAAAACTGCTATTACTTTTGCACCAACCTAATAGAAATGTTTGCTCGTCTTGCGGAGCACTCCAAACCAGGTTACTTGCAATCCAAGATTTTACTGTACGTTGAGGGGTTTTTTGGTATTTAAAAAGCCATACTTCTGCCACATGGAGTTAACATATGATAACATTTTGGTATTATTTGTTCTGGTCATACACAAGTATTAGGCAGGTTTAACCATCATTTTAAGGCAATTACTTTGTGCCTGGCAATTAGTTCACACAAATATGAACTAATGTAATCTATCAGGTAGATATAGCAACCTATCAGGTAGATAACCATTATTATACCCATTTTAAAGATGACAAAATTGAAGTACGCCGTCACACAGCTAGCAGGTCGTAGAGCCAGGATTCAAACCCAAGAAGTTGGCTCTAGAATCTGTGTTTTTAACCACCACAGCAGACTGTCTTTTACTTAATTAAACATGTTATAGAAAGGAAGTAATTCTGTATGATCTCCCTTCATTCTTCTGACTTCCTTTATTGCCATTTTCTAGTCCTTTCTTTGCCACTTTCAATAGATTAATAGAAAGATCCACGCTCACAAACATTTGAAAGTATTTGACTAGATGCTTTCAGGTGTCTCTCCAGTTGGCCATTATCTTTTAGAACAAAAATTCCTAGATGATGGTGGTCCTGTCTTTTTGTTATGCATCGATAATGTGCTAAGTGAGGAGTTGTCTTATTGTCTGACTGGGTCTAACCTTATTATTTGAATGCAGTTAATTATTTGAACAGTATCACACATGCTTTGGAGGTGCCAAGAAAAAAGACGTGGGCTAAAGCAGTGAACATAGCTGAGTCGGATTATTATGGCTTCTAGGAATGGCTCTAGAACAATTACAAAACCTGCAGATTATGTCTTCTGTATTTTTCTAAATCTCTGGTCTGCTTCAGTCGTCCTGCTGGGAGCTATTCTATTCTATTTCATTGAGATTAAATGCAATAACATACTTGTAATTGACTTGTAAACCATAAATAAAAATATTACTATTATGAATATTAATTACTCCTCAGACATCATATATATTCATTCATCCTTCATTCTTTCTGCATGCCCCACCTGAATCCCCATGTCTTCCCCATTAAAACCTATTCTTGGAAAAATGATATGTTATACTCATTTAACCCAGGTGACAGGTAAAGTTTAATGTGTACTTCTTCTGGGTTATTTGCATTTTAATAGTGTGAAAAGCCATATACCTGAGGAATGGCTCTCTGGTGGTAGAACGTCAGCCATGATCTCTGTGCTGTGAGGACAGAACTTTGAGGGGCCACGTGGAGCTTCCTCACACCTTTCAAACAATATCACACAGGTGCCCACTTCCAGAAGTGTCAGGCCTGAAGAAACAGATACTGATAAAGACACTGATCTACCTGCATAAATGGAGCCAACCCTAGAAGTCACCAATTTCTTGGATACTCATGTGGAGTATCAATATAGGCTTAGAAGCTTTGCTTACCGATATCAGAAAATACCCATTTGCTTTAAGGGGTAATTGCAAAATAGGACAATCAGACTGAAAACTAAATAAAGATTGTTTCTTTATGTTCTCTCTTTTTAAAAAATTACAAAGGTAATATATGCCTCTAAAAGAAATTTTGGAAAGTGGAATACAAACAGGGAAAGAAAAATTATATATAGTTCCACCATGCAGAGATAACCACTATGAAAAAATGTGGTTTATAAACTTTCTGTCTTTCTCTCAGGCTGTGCGTGTGTGTGTGTGTGTGTGTGTGTGTGTGTGTGTGTGTGAGTGTGTGTGTGTGTGTGTTCAGATTCTCTTTTTCTTTATTAACCAAACAAGGATGAAGACATATTACAGTTATATGACCTTTTTTTTCCCTTAGAACTACAATAAAAATATTTTCGCGTATATAGACATTCCTCTACAGAGTAATTTCTTTTTTTAAGCTGAGCCATCCTGCCACCTGTTGGCAGCTCAACGGCTGCTCAGCTCAGGCCAGGAATCGAACTGCTGTTGCTCAGAGCTCACACTCTTGAGCGAGCTCTTAACCAACTGAGCCACTCGGCCGGCCCTCCAGAGTAATTTTTTAAATGACTGAGTAGTATTCCCTTGTGTGGCTGTACCAGATTTACCAAGAATTCTGAATCACTCAGCATTAAGCTTATTTCAAATTTTTCACTATTATATCCAAAATTGTGACTAACATTTTCTGTACACCTTTATAAACACCTCACCTTCTTCCTATAAAATAAATGCCTATACACGGAACTGCTGTGTTAGATGAAATTTACATTGGTAAGGTTTTTGATATGTGCTGCCTGCCAAATGACCTGAAGAAAGTTGCACCAGAAATTGGGTGCACCATTAAAACCATATTTGAGGCAAGGCATCTCTGAAGTCACTTATCAGCTGTTTAATTGTGTTCTATAAAAGAAAAAGAGCTTCCCCTCAAAAACAAATAAAAATATGTTTGAAAAAATACAACTAAGGTCATAGTAAATGAGTTTGAATTGGTAGATGTCTAGTAATTTGCTTCCAGGTTACTAGAAATAATAGTTGGGAGGTTTAGAAATTACCAAAAAAGAAGAAAAAGAATGATGAGCCACAAACTGCACCCCCCCCTCCCAAAACATGCTGTTTCCATCTCTCTCCTTTCTCTCTCTCTCTCTCTCTCTCTCTCTCTCTCTCTCTCTCTCTCTCTCTCTCACACACACACACACACACACACACCTCTGAAAATTACATTACCAGCTGTCTTTGGTTTTTTATCAGTAGAGAGAGGCAGCCTTTTACTAAAGAAAAGTATTCACTGTTTCTTCTTGGTGGCCCAATCTCTACTTGTTAAATAAGTTGTTTCTTTTATCTTGGATCAGAGAAAATGAGAAGAGAATCATTGTAAAATATGACCCTTATCTATTGATAGACACTAGCTTGCCTTTAATTCTAGATTTAATATTCAACTACTTCTAATTGACTTCTGCAACATAAATCAACAAAAAGGAGACATTCTAACAGTGCCATTTTTAATTATAATTTTAAAATATTATTATATATTGTATGTATTACAATATACATATATTTGGAAGGTACAGTGTCGGCCGCTTCATAGATGTGTATCAATGACCAAAAAAGGAGTATAGTATTCACTGGCACACTAGTCTGAAAATTGTCCATGTTTTTGTTATTTTCAAGAATTTAAGACCATTTAAAAAAGAATTTAAGATCTTTTTTTCTGACCACTTCCTCAATTCTCTGGGCTTCTGTTCTAAATTTTACTTTTTTCACCAAAAAGGATAACTATAGATTTGGGTAAAGGTGGAAATCTTTCTGTAACAGTGAAAAGAACTTACAGTTGTCTTAATATTTTACAAGTTCTGGAATTCCTAAAGGAGCATTTCCAAGCCAACTTCCTGAGAACATTGATGTTCTGTATGGTGTTAATACCTCTCCCTTGAAAGTAGTTCTGGGGTCAATAAGATTGGGAAAAGCACTAGGTTATAAAGATAAGGAAGTTTCTTTCCTGTTGGAATTCTTGGAGCCTTTAATACACATTGAGACTCTAAAGGAGGACAGAGACAGTAGCTTGTCTGCATACTTGATGTGACTATGGAAGCCTTTTTCAGGCACACCAGTTAATTTCTCAGTAAACATGCCATGGAACAGAGTATGGAAATCTTTGCCCTAAAGTGGTATTTGCCAAATGGTTGAATCGCGAGAACTTTCTGCTGAAGGTAGTAAGAACATGATCCAATTGAAAAGAAAATGAATATTTTTAAGACCAGTGGGTCAACTCTCTTTTTCCTGAGGTTTCCAGTCCCAGTCCACCCTGTGGGCTGTGGAATTGCCTAACGAGAGAGGAACTTCAAGAGTTTCTCTATGAATTGTTTTCAAACTACTCATTAGTGAACCCTGAAATCAGTTTCATGAGTTGCAACCAACCTTTTTTTTTTCAGGAAAGTGAAAGTGATTTATTGAAAATGAAAGTACATGCTTGAGAGGAAAGTGTGGCTGAACTCAGAAAACGAGTCCCAAGGAAGTCAGCATCAGGGGTTTTTATCCCTCCCTTGCAAGAATTGATAAGGTCCCATTTATGTGGCTCATTCATCTTCTCTCTTTGGGCGGGGCCCTGGTTTTCTGCTTTTTCTTGCTTATTTGGTTC